CCTGGTCGATACAGGCGCACAGGTCAGCGTGATACGCCCTCGCCCCGCTGACCTTCATCAACACTCTTCTGTGGAACTGGTCGCTGCGAACCGCACGCTCATCAACACCTACGGGGAGCGTTCACTCACACTGAACCTAGGTATTCGCCGTGGTTTACCCTGGGTATTTATCATCGCCGACCTTCCACAATCTATCATCGGCATCGATTTTCTCCGGCATTTCAACCTTATTGTCGACCCGGTTGGCCACAAGCTCATCGATCGTCTCATCACATGTGAGACTCACGGGACGCCGGCAGATGTTCCGTCCGTTAGCCTACTCCTGCACGTCCCTGAAGTTAACGATAGGTTCCGTGCGGTTCTCTCCGAATTTCCGGAGTTGTGCAAACCGCCAGATATGCTTCCTCAGGCGACCACTGACATCGTCCACCATATCGTGACGCGCGGTCCACCGACACACTGTCGCCCTAGACGCCTCGCCCCGGACAAAGTCAAAATAGCCCGTGCTGAATTTCAGCACATGCTGGATCTAGGCATCATCCGCCCATCCTCCAGCCCGTGGGTTTCACCATTACACATGGTCCCTAAGAAGTCTTCAGGCGACTGGCGACCATGTGACGACTACCGCTCGCTAAACAGCGTCATTACACCAGATGGCTATCCAATTCTTCAAATCCAAGATTTGACGACTAGTCTAGGGGGATGTAAGGTATTTAGTAAAATCGACCTAGCACGCGCCTATCACCAAATTCTGGTACATCCCGAAGATGTTCCCAAGACTGCGGTGACCGCACTGTTTGATCTTTTTGAGTTCCTGCGCATGCCCTTTGGCCTGCGCAACGCCGCTCAAACGTTCCAGCGTTTCATCAACCAGGTTTGTCAAGATCTAGACAATACTTTCGCATATATAGACGACGTTCTGGTAGCAAGCGCCACTCCCGAGGAGCACGAACAGCATTTGCGCGCCCTCTTTACGCGCCTCCGTCAACACGGCGTTACCATAAACGCCGCCAAATGCTCCTTCGGCCAACCTAGTGTCACTGATCACAAACCACTCATCTACG